GAGAAAAAAACCGATTTCGAAGCCGCGCGTCAGCTCCTCGCGGGACTTTGAAAATTTCCTGCGAAGAGGAATTGCAAGTCGAGTCGGAGTGGCAAAGTCCAAACCTAACCTCGGGGACCCTTCCAAACAAAGGATCTGGATCTGAACAGAGGATCTGAACACGGGACTTTGAAAAAATTCAAAAGTCTCAGACTCGGATACGGGGGAAAAATCACCGATTTCGAAGCCGCGCGGCGGCTCCCGGGACTCGGGCGCTCTCAACTCAATTGCAATTCCTCCTCTCAAAAAAGCAAGCCTCCTCTCAAGCGGTCCGTACTCGTACTGAAAATCAGGATCAAGCAAGCTTTTGCCCTTTTGCTCTACGCGAGGTTTCTGTCCTCGCTGAGCTGGCCTTAGGACACCTGCGTTACATTTTGACAGGTATACCGCCTCTGTTAAACTCCCTACCGGACACTTTCTCCGGAGCGGATCGCCGCGGCGCCGAGTGGCACCGGGCTTCAAAGCCATACAGACCCGCACGAGGCGGGCTTCTTCCGCACTACCGAGTAAGTAAAGAGACGATGAAGGTAGTGGTATTTCAACGGCGTCTCCACAAGAAGACTCCCACTTATTCTACACCCTTCATTTCCCTAAACAATGTCTGACTAGAGTCAAGTTTAACAGGGTCTTCTTTCCCCGCTGATAGTGCCAAGCCTGTTCCCTTGGCTGTGGTTTCGCTAGATAGTAGATAGGGACATAATTCGAGAGACCAACCCCCGCTCCGCACATAGTGCACTACAGGTTTGGAGTAGGAAGGCTCTCGTGTATAAAACTAAACGTCTCGCTCTGCCACAGCAAGAGTCGCATGTGCGCTCCCAGAAGTATCCGAGAACACTCCCAGAAGCACATTGGTGCCGGGCTGGTCTTTTCCGGGCTAGAAACCGGCTGCCCACGTATGAGGTGTAGCAGGCTCTGGGCTACTAGAGTGGCTTATGTCCTATCTAATGCTCCGGCACCTAGACATCTTTGCAGTCTCTAACGCCAGGGGCGGGTGCCGGGGTACTTAGGTTCTTTAGAGACAAATGATGGGAGGGATCCCACCGCGAACACTTTCCCTTAGATAACGTGGACTCACCTTAGAATGGTCTAAGTGTCGGCTATGGGGCCTTCACTAGACCTCACATACTTTTGAGGGGGTCGTCTCGGGTACCTAGACTTCTTTGCAGTCTTTTACACCGTAGCGGGTACCTTTGCCGTGATACTTGGAACCCGGTGTCAATTTCACAGCCCTCGACACCTTAGTGGGTCCTTTCTCACCGAGGACTACCCCCTGTCCTTAAATTGTCGCACCGAAGTGCGATCTTCACTTATTAGAGTTAGCCGTGGTCAACTCATCCACTATCTTCATGATGTTCCGAAGAATACTAAGATTTTTGGGCTAGAGCAACGAGGCTAACCCATGCTCTGTGTCCAGCTGAGAGGACAACCTCCTGGTTCGTGGACAACTTGTAAGGTAGTGAAGCGCGTCACCGTCTCCACCACACTCACAGCTGCCTTTCCCCTCGATTCCAAACCTCTGGAGGTATGCGGGAAACCTGCCATGTCCCGTCACCAGCTGAACAATCAGCTTGTCACAGACTCGGAGTTGTAACACCGGGTTGGGCAGGGTTTGGTGCGTGAGCCTACCTTTGGCGTTCGAATGCCATCTCTCTTTCCACATCCTTAGACCTGATTCCCGAACCAATCATTTAAACAGTCTTCGAGAAGAAGGCAACGGGTCCGTTACTTGCGGCAGCTCGGAAGTTTTTTTCGCTGCGTCATCCGCCAACTCATTTCCACATATCCCTACATGGGCTTTAACCCAATGTAGGACGACTTCCCGCTCCATCTTTCAGTCTGAGGGCTTCCTTGAGACCCTGGATCGTTGGGTGCTTATGGTCTGGATTCCAGAGGGCTTCCAGAACCGACCGAGAATCGGTGTAGATGTTAACTCTCGATGACGTTGAGAGTTTTAAGCACCACTCGGCAGCCTTGAGCAGAGCGAGGGCTTCCACCTGAAAGACCGTATTATGGTCCTCCAGTCGAAAGAGTGCCTCGTCCGTCTTGGCGCCGTAGTAACAAGCCACAAGGGCAGCCCCAACTTGATTGTTGAGGCCTGATCCGTCAGTAAACATCTCAATTCCAGCAGTGCCAGCTATCCTGAGGGAAACTTCGGAGGGAACCAGCTACTAGATGGTTTGATTAGTCTTTCTCCCCTATACGCGGATCAGACGATCGATTTGCACGTCAGAACCGCTTCGGACTTCCAACAGGGTTTCCCCTGTCTTCGTCCTGTCTAGGCATAGTTCACCATCTTTCGGGTCCCAACGTGTGTGCTCAGGCTCCGCCTCGACTCCGGAGAGTGTGGCAGGCCGTCGGTGCGCCCCTCGCATGAAAGCGGGGGATCCCGACTACGAAGAAATAATCAATTTGTTTGCACCCGTGGGCTTCTGCGAGACCCAGTGACTCGCACACATGTTAGACTCCTTGATCCGTGTTTCAAGACTGGTCGGGTGGGGCACCGACCTACTGCGCCGCAACACCGTCGGCCTCCAAAGGGAAAAAAACAAAAGCGGCGCGGACGAGGGCCACCGGCCACGCCCAGAGAGCGTGCGCACGGCTACCCGAGAACCCACCGGCACCGCCAAAAGTACAAATTAGGAGGCGACGTGTCGGAAGCCACCGTCCGCTGCAGACCCGGGCGGAAGAGATCGGAATATCCAAAAAAGTCGGAGTCCACATACGAGTATCCGCCCTCACGGCCCACAAAAACGAACGGGGTGCGGCGTCCTCTGGAAGGGGACGAGTGCACCCGGGCCGAACCGCATCCTGGGCGCGGACGGCGCCCCCACGTGAGGGGCGCTCCTTCACTCGCTTCGGCGGAAGCAGACGACACCGGGCCTGAACGCCCCCGACACTGGACTTCGAGAGCCTACCCGTTTCCCTCTGAGCAGTTTCACGTTCTATTGAACTCTCTCTTCAAAGTTCTTTTCAACTTTCCCTCACGGTACTTGTTTGCTATCGGTCTCACGGTCGTATTTAGCCTTGGGTGGAGTTTACCACCCGTCTTAGGGCTGCACTCCCAAGCAACCCGACTCGCGGGCGAACCGAGAGGGAACCACGGCGCGCGAGAACGGGCCTCACACCCTCTCAGGAAAATGCCCCGATCGTGGAGACTTCCCGCGCACTCTAGGTCCACACTCCCGACTCGCCCAAACGGCACATTTCCCTGCTCGAGGCAAGGATTCGGCGCTGGGCTCCTCCCTGTTCGCTCGCCGCTACTAGGGGAATCACTGTTGTTTTCTTTCCCTCCGCTTAATAATATGCTTAAATTCAGCGGGTAGTCTCGTCTATCTGAGGTCGTTTCTAAATTTTATAAGTCTTTAAGGTACCTCCTCCCGATTATTGGGGAACGCCTCAAGCGAGCAGCCGGACGAACCGGAGAGTGGCCCTGCGGGGGAAAGGCTCCCCCGGACACGGGACACTCGAGGCTGCTCCCGCGGCTCGGGAGAATTCCTTTCGCAATTGAGCCGACGGGTTCGCACCCGACGCTGCCAATTTACTCTTAGAGTCTGGGCTTCATACGACCCTCAAACAGGCGAGGCCTCCAGTCCCGGAAGACCGGAGGCCGCTATGCGCGTTCGAAAGTTCGGTGTTCAATGTGTCCTGCAATTCACACCAATTATCGCAGCAAGCTGCGTTCTTCATCGACCCGTGAGCCGAGTGATCCACTGCTCAGAGTTGTCATAGTAATTTTGTTCGAGTTCGAATCGGTGGGGATAGGGACAGAGAATATTGGGGCGCGGTGCACTCTACGGTGCAGCTCTCGCACCTAGCCCGAGCCCCCGAAGGAGCTCAGACCCCCTTAGGCCTCAAAGGTCCGGGAAGCAGGTACGCCCTCTTCGAGACTCGGCGACGACCATATTCCACTCTCGGAAACTTGTAAAATTCCGTAAAAAAAATTCTCGAGCCACCCGAACGAGAAATAGGCTACGATCCACAACGACATCCACCCACGGAGGAGGCGTCGACCCGGACACGTCACACAAACGAACGAGACGCCTTCATCGGAGGTAAGAACCCCTTACGGCAGAGCACCCGCCGAGGAAGAGATGACGGCGCAGAGTCCGGAACGCCACGCACCGAATTCAGACACCCGGACCGAACGCACTCGGCACCGGATGACCCCCATGCCCCCGCACGGGATATCAGACACATCGCATGCCCGAACCCGGACCTCCAGAACCCGGACACGAAGGCCCCTCTCCCCACATGGCCATAACTCCCCGACCTCCTCTCCGCCGTTCCAGAGCATCACCACCGCACCCGGCTGTCCCGCCCGAAGGCTCCGTCTCCACTCATCCGGTCGATCCAAAAAAATGCCTCTTACTATTTCATAATCCGTGCGTCGTCGCTTCTCGTCTCCTCCAACCGCCCAGGCAACTCTTTTGAACTCTCTCATCACTCTCTGGGGTCGGAGGCATCATTTACTAAGACCTTTACCTGGAGTCGGCCACGGCGCACCCGGGCAGGAAGACGAAAGAGAGGCAGAATCCACAACTCGGACGAACCGGACCAGCCAAGCATCGGACGCCCCCCTGCCCCCGCATGAGATCACCAACGCCTCGCCTATCCGGAGTCCGCACCTTGGCTTTTAAATAAAAAAAATCCTTTCGTTTCCGCCTCTCCAAACCCGCACCCGATCCAAGGAGATCGGCCGCCGCATGCCTCCTCTACGAAAGAAGAAATCTCAGGTCTCCGAGCCACGGTCTCCCGAAGGAGCCACCCCTTCCCGAGTCTCTTTTATTTGCATCACCATTCGGTCGTCGCTTCGTCTGGGGCGGAGCTGCCAACATCTCCGCCACACGGAGCGAGCTTCGTTCAATGCGGGGCCTTTCCGAGCACACCCTCGACCGTAGTCTGGGAGAAGCTCGACGGGGCAGACCCCAAGCCTCGGTGAGTGACAAGCATATTATTCAAGCAATGATTCTTCCGCAGGTTCACCTACGGAAACTATATTACGACTTGTAATTCCTCTACGTGATCGAGTTCGATCATCTTTCGGACACCCCTTTTCCGTGAAGGAACGGAGGCGCAGGTCCGAAGACCTCACCGATCCACTCAATCGGTATTACAAAGTGTACAAAGGGCAGGGACTTAATCGGCACGAGTTAATGAATCGAGTCTACTGGGGATTCCTCGTTCAAGGGGCCAGTTACAGTCCCCTATCCCCAGCACGAAGGCGTTTCATCGGGTTGCCCGGACTTCTCGGCCAGGGAAAAGAAGCACACGCTGTCGCCTTCATTGTATTGCGCGTGCGGCCCCGGACATCTAAGGGCATCACTGACCTGTTTTTGCTCTTTTTCGTGCGGCTCGAAACCGCTTGTTCCTCTAAGAAGATTATCTCTCCGTGAAATATCACGGAACAGCCTATTTAGCAGGCAAGAGTCTCGCTCGTTATTGTAATTAACCAGACAGGTCATGCCCACGAACTAAAAACGGCCATGCAATACCACCCACGGAATCAAGAAAGAGCCATTAATCTGTCAATCCTCGCCGTGTCCGGACCGGGAGAGTTTACCCGTGTTGAGTCAAATTGAGCCGCAGAATCCATCCCTGGTTGTACCCTTTCGTCAATTCCTTTAAGTTTCAGTTTTGCAACCATACTTCCCCCGGAACCCAGAAGCTCTGGTTTCCCGGAAGCTGCCCGGCGTGTCCTTTCTGAAACAGCACCGGATCGCTGGCTGGCATAGTTTACGGACAGAACTACGGTGGTATCTGATCGCCTTCGAACCTCTGACTTTCGTTCTTGGTCAATGAAAACATTCTTGGCAAATGCTATCGCAGTAGTTCGTCCTGCGACGGTCCAAGAATTTCACCTCTAGCGTATCAGTACGAATGCCCCCGTCTGTTCCTATCGATCATTACCTCCGGTTCCGAAAACCAACACAATAGAACCGAGGTCCTCTTGCATTATTCCATGCATCCTTGTGCGGGCGACAGGCCTGCTTTGAGCAATTCAGTTTCTTCAAGGTAAACTGACCGGACCCCGCGCCACGACCGGTTAAGATCGCGGTTCGGAAAAAGGGCAGAGCCCGTGAGACCGGAAGAAGCGCTGACGCGCCCCACCGTCCCGGGCTGAGATCCGACTACGAGCTTTTCGTCCGCAACAAATTTAGCTTACGCTATCGGAGCTGGAGTTACTGCAGCTGCTGACACCAGACTTGCCCTCCAATCGTTCCTTTCGAACACTCTTTTTTTTTTCCGGTTTTGGAATTTTTGGAATTTTGGAAAAAAAAAACTTTTCCACGTTTTTTCCGGGAAAAGGGTCTTTTCGAACGGGAACGCGACGGGAAACGGGTCTCCTGCGTTCCGGGGAGGAAGGCGCAGCTCCCGCAACGGAAAAAAGCCCGGTGGCCGCCCCCCCCAGTGGCGCGGTGTGGCAGGCGGGAGGTGCGGTGCAGAAAAAAAGGCCCGATTGCCGCGAAACTTTCGGAAAAGGATGCAGTCCATGGATAGAAGCGATTCTCATAGTAAAAAACGAAATTAGAATGATTCTTCTGCCGGATATTTGACTTCAAGTCCGTTTCCAGGTCTGTTTTCCGGAGTGGAATAAAAAAGGAGAATACCAGCGGATTTTTTCGAACTTCCGTCTCGAGTGTCTTCGACACCTTTGCATCGCGAATCAATGCAGTTTTCGTTTTTAAAACGTGTTTCTGAGAGCCTTTTCGTGCAGGGAGTGAAATTTCACTTCAAACATTCGAAAACTCGAAGCCACTTCCGGTCCGAATCCGACAATCTCCTTTTCGGTGAAAAACTTCCCGGAATTCCTTAGTATACATCTGAGTAGATAATTATTTCGATTTATAAAGGAATCCCACGGTAATTAGGGAGAAAAGTCAAAGTGGGAAAAATTGACCTTTTTTTTGCGATTATCAGACCACCGGTACTATTTCGAGACCCAAGTGGGTAATTTCGAACTCCCACAAAAAACCTTTACATATTCTTGTAGAGGGACTCGAGACGTAACTAAGTGCTGGATTTGAAAGAAATCGGTTTATATTCAGTGGGGTAATTTCTGGGTGAAAGTCGAAAATTTGGATTTTTTTTTAAGGGAAAAAAAATCACACCCTACCCTGGAGGAAAAAAAGGGTCAGAAATCCCTGCTCCTCAAAATTCGAACGTTGATTCGATAGAGGAACGAGAGAAGCACCGAATCACCTAGTTTCGAAGGAATCGAGCCGTAACTGTTTTTTAAAAAAAATTGTAAACGAGTTAGGAAAACGGGACCGAAAAAAAAAAGGGTGCCATTTTGTTTGGGGCACAACTCGCTCGATTTCACCCGCTCCTACAAAAACTTTACATATTCTGGTAGAGGGAGTCAAGACGTGACCCCTATCGGAAATCGAAAGAAATCGGTGAATATTCAGGGGGTCATAATCGCAAAACAAAAAAAAAAGACGACCGCTTCTCTGGCGGGTGGACGGCTCGAAGATGGGAGACCCCGTCTTTCCGGCCTGCATTTCTGGACTTTTCCTTTTTTGGATCCCATCCAAATCCATAGAAATCGTAGAAGACTCCTTGGGAAGTGTCCCTGCCGAATTTAGAAGAAATCGGAGGACTTTCAAACACTTTGTGACGCTCTCGAAGTTGGGAGTCCGGGAATGAGGACCCAAATTTCGTTCCGTTTCTCCAGAAAAAAAAACAAATCGAAACCCCTTTTCGAATAAAAAACTGCCCGGAATTACGGAGTAGATACCTCCATCGATGACCATTTCGATTTATATGGAAATCCGACGGGAATTATTCAAAAAAAATTCAACGGGAGGGATTTTTTTTTTTTCAATCTTCAGAAATAAAATACTTTTTTGAGAACAAATTTCGTAATTTAAATCTCCCTCCCAAAACCTTGACATATTCCGGTAGAGCTTGTCAAAACGTAATACCCTGCAAAATGTGAAGGAAATCGAAGCATAATAAGTCACTTAATTTCGAGAAGAGTGTAGAACATTTGATTTTTTTAATGAAAAAAAGGGCGAGCTCACAGTGGGGTACCTAAAGGGTTCCGAGACCGCGCTCCTCGAAATTCGCACGCGGGTTCGATAGAGGACAGAGAGACGGACCGAAACATCGAATTTCAGATGGATCCATGCATAACTTTTCCTCAAAATGGAAAAGGAGTGTTCGAAAAAGTTTAAAAAAAAAAAAAAAAAATTTAATTACTTCAAATTTGAAAGAAAAAAAAAGGAACCTTTTTTAATGGAAAAACTGCCCGGAATTACTTTGCAGACACCTCGGTAGATAATTATCTCGATTTAGGAAGAAATCCCATGGAAATTAGGAAGAAAAGACAAAGTGGAATTTTTTTCATGGTTCAAAACTGAATTCATTTCTGAGACCAAATTTCGAAATTTCCAACTCATTCCGAAAACCTTTACATATTCCGGTAGAGCTCGTCGAAACGTTATACCCTGAAATATTTGAAGGAAATCGAAGCATAATAAGTCACTTAATTTCGAGAAGAAGTTCGAAAATTTGATTTTTTTAAGGAAAAAAAGGGCGAGCTCACAGTGGGGTACCTAAAGGGTTCCGAGACTGCGCTCCTCGAAATTCGCACGCGGGCTTACGGGAAATCGTTGTTTATCAGAAGAATATACTCACATTGCCAAAGATCCAATTAATGACGAGAATGTGATTAATTTTCTAAAAGGTTTGAGAAGAATGTTTCTAGTGATTCTAAGACGGACATTTTGTCACAGACGGACAAAACAGGACTTTGAGTTTCTCCGCGCTTAGTGTGTGGTAAACATTCGGTATTAACATTAAGTTTTATTACTTCTTGTAAGTAATCTTTATTGTATATATACTTATTAGTTTTAAAGTTTATTCATGTTTTTGTTAGTAAAACTTCGGAAAAATTTCAATAGCCTTTCTGAAATTTATTTCTCAAAGTAAACGCTTCTTCATATTTTTCTGCAAATTACACACACACACACACACACA